GACAATCCTATTTTCCTATATCTTAAAACTCATGACATTTACCGGGTAATGGACACGACATTAGAAAAATCTTTCAAATAAGCATAAAAAACGGCAATGTCATAAATTAAATAGGAAATTATGTAAGAATTATGTCTACTGGATAGAACAAAAAAAAATGGTAAAAAATTGACTTTTTCTATAAATAAAATAACTTTGAAAATTAGATTTTCAAATCAACCAATCACAACAGCGTCATCATTTTATTCGTTCTCTGATTGGTCGATTTAAAACTTGGTTTTTGAAAATGGTTTTTTTCTTAGAAAAATGATGGGATTTAATCTATTTACTAGACATTCATTCTCTTAATTATAAATCAAATTAGTAATTCCATAGTTTTTTATGCTCTTTTGGGAGCATTTTCAGATTTCATATTGGATTCCCGGGAAATGTCATGAGTTTGAATAAAAGAGAGAGAGAGAATATAGAAAAAAAAATTATGATATTTATTATTAAAAGTTGAACACAAAAAGATAACCGAATAAATATCGATTGATCAGCGTCTATTGACAATAAAATATATTTATTAACAATAAAAGAATCCCATAAATTTATTCATAGACATTTTTATAAACAAATAAAAATTGTTTATAACAAAAAAACTTAGATTTACAGAATCGAGTTATTTTCGAGGAAGTTGTATATTGCGATTAATAATAAAATAATCTCTAATAATTTTTTTATTGTTATAAACAAACAAAAATTGTTTATAACAAATAAACTTGGATTTACAGAATCGAGTTATTTTCGAGAAAGTTGAATATTGCGATTAATAATAAAATAATCTCTTTAATAATTTTTTTATTGTTATAAACAAATAAAAATTGTTTATAACAAAAAAACTTGGATTTACAGAACGAGTTATTTTCGAGAAAGTTAAATATTGCGAATAATAATAAAATAATTTCTAATAATTTTTTCATTGTTATAAACAAATAAAAATTGTTTATAACAAAAAAACTTGGATTTACAGAATCGAGTTATTTTCGAACAAGTTAAATATCGTGATTAATAATAAAATAATCTCTAATAATTTTTTTATTGTTATAAACAAACAAAAATTGTTTATAACAAATAAACTTGGATTTACAGAATCGAGTTATTTTCGAACAAGTTAAATATCGTGATTAATAATAAAATAATCACTTTAATAATTTTTTATTGTGAAAAACAACTTAAATTTTTTTTTCTCCAGAATGTTATTAGAATTGAATAAACAATTAGGTATTATTGAATACAAAAAAAAATGTTTTTTATTTATTGCAATTTTGATATTACAAAAATACTGTTCAGTACATACTTTATGTAGTCATACTTCCTTACATAGATAAACTTATGTTTTTACTCAATCAGTGAACTTTTTCCTTATGTCTAAATGTGTTCTTTTCAATATTTAAAAAAGAAAACAGAAAAAATCAATATTTGATAATGACAAAAACTAAAACTTAATCAGTCAATAGCTCACTGTGAATGACTGGTCATTCTTTCTCATCAAAAAAAGTTATTTCTTTTAAGTACAAATCAAAATACATCTTTTTTCCTACTTCAACTATTCGAATATAAGGTACATGTAACAATTTTTAAATATTTCTCAAAAATTGAAAAAAAAAAATTTCGTTTTTCTCTTAAAGAAAATTGGTTTTAAATAACAACGAACTTTTTTAAATTTCTGTACAGATAACTAAAAATATTCCTTTTATGTTTTTACGTTTGTATCAATTTTTGATATAATAGAAAACAAATAAAAAAATTTAACTGATCATCTTTATAATTAATCAAGTTTTAGAATTTTATCCTCACTTGAACATAATACATCATCGCCAAACGGGGTTTTTCGTTTTAATGGTCGGTAGCCATTCTCTAACTCTTCCTGTGTAAGTGGCTTCTCTTTAGTTTTGGTTATTTTATCCATATTCGCTATGTAAATGATTATTACTCCCCCTATGAAAATAAGATGATAGTAATTGTTATTATAGTTACTATTATTAGTCATGTTTATTATTTAAATTTTTTATTTGAATTATATTTGATAAATATTATTTACTTAAATGATGACAAAAAAATGAAATTATAAATTACTTCTAACCTTTATCGAGTCTGACTTCACCGATAATATTAACATGACAACCTTCTTGGTAATTTTTTGCTTTGGTAGGGTCAAAGTTTGATACCTGAATCCTGACACGATAAATCCCATCAGTTAATACTCCGGAACCGTACGTAGCTCCATTGAATTCATTAGTAACAATACTTTGCTTAATATAAGCATTTGTACCTAAGAACAGCAATTCATATATAATTGTAATATTTAGTTTTTTCATTTTTCATGACAACAAAGCAATTGATATGAATAAAGTACATAGAATGTAATATATTAATTAAGTTAGGATTAATACAGAATTCAAGAAAATAAGCAACTTACTGTTTAAGTTTGTTTGAATTTTATTTAAATCTTGGAATTCGACGCTGATAATTTCGTTAGTTTTTTTATTGATATTGTAAGTTCCTAATAGTTCTACTTTAGTATTTTTATTGACAGATAATTCTATGTCTGCTACTATTCCACAAGGACTATCAGCATATGTTGGATAAACTTTATGTCCATATGCTCCACGAATATTAATAATCTATAAATTTAGAAAAAAATTTACAAGAATATTGCAATCAGTAATATTTCAGAGATAAATGAGATAAAGTGTATAGAGAAAGAAGATTTAATATTACTTACTGTACCAAGGGATATCTTATTGACAAATTCTTGAGCTCTATCATTCCAAAAAAGAAGCCGTACTTTCCTCCCCATTGTGTTATTAACAATTACTTTAAAGACGTTCTTCGTGTCTTTGGAAACACTTTTGAAACCTTCAATGCATTCTACATAACCTTTCAATTTCCTACGATTACGATATTAATATCAATTGTGTTAATAATTTCTGTGTTTATGATAAACAAAATAAAAAAATATACAATATTCCTGTATTTTGTAACTAAAATCAGTTTTAGAAATTTCTTAATAGAAAATAATATTAATTAGAACCTTAAAATTAAAAACTCAAAATTACTTTATTGAATATAAATGAATAAAAAAAAATATTTACAGTTCGGTATCCTTTGCAGGGTATTCATCAATTTCACCATTAGATGTAAATTTATAAATATTTGATGTCATTTTTAATAAGAGATTTAACAGAAAAGTTTTAATAACAACGAAACGTGACTTATTCTATTTGTGATAAAACCGGAAATGGATTGACTATAAATATAAATATGATTAATGATGTATTGATAATCACCGGTCGATAAATTTTAATCAATTCATTGAACCGAGTATACATGATCCTCAATAATTACTTTTAATTGTTACCACCAGAGACCAAAAAGAAAACGGCAACTTCACTCACCTCAATATAATTATTTATCACTGTTATCAGTTATTTGTGAAAAACATTGAAATTTCCAATTTTGCAATTTATGTGAATAAAAAAAAAATCTTCTACTTATATATGATTATTAATCGATTTTTACAATTAAGAGTTTTCGATCATTCAGTTATGTATTGATCTGAAAATATTTTCAATAGAAAACTATAAAATTGAAGTGTATCATTTGACATTTGACATATGATGTAAAGTAATAATTCATATTCTAAGGTAAATTTCATAATGTTTAATTGATGTAAATCAATAAAAAATTAAAAAATGATATACATTTTCAGATTGAAATTCGAATCATATTTTTATACAAGTATTTATTGTAATTATAATTATCTTTTTCACAGTTAAAATTAAGTTACATTGGTTATTGTTGGATATATTTTATTCACTATCAAAATTATAATCAATTCAGGATTGGATATAATTAATTGATTTTTTCGGATGAGTCACATATTAAAATCAAATCTGTATCGCTTTTCAAGTAAGAAAATAATATTATTAATTGAATATATCTAACATGCAAATAGATCAAAATTTATATTTTAAACATTTAATAACGTAACTTAAATAAATTTGTCAACTAAGAAAGATCAGAAAATTACTGATTACTGACTAATATATTTTACAGTGATGAAAAATTGTACTTTATGTATGTATGTATATATATATCAGTGATGATTTTACATTATAAGTTAAAACATATTTAATTTTTTATGTTTTTAATATTTTTTTTAACTGTGTAAAATATAAATTTTTCAATAAAAAAATATAATATGATATTCAATTTCTTATTAAGTACTTAATAATAAAAAAAATATGTTTATTAACTGAATGTTTTTTTTCAGGTTTGCAGAAATTACCAAATCTTAACTTAACTAATACTTTCATTAAATACCAAACTGATTTTTTTAACAAAAACAAACTATTGAATACTCTATATACCAACTATTGCTTACTAGATAAAAAACGTACTTTTACTATAATATCAAGAAAAGACTAAATAATAAGAAATAAGAAACAATACATCACGATAGATTGAAAATCAATTTTAAGAAGTTATTAAAATCTTTACTTTTCTTTCCTGTATCGTTAATTTTTGCTATGAATTAAATAACCGTAATTTTATATTTATCTGATAATTACTTAATTTTGTTACTAATAATAAGAATTAACCAAAATCATTCTTTTAGCTAATTGTAAATAAATTACTAATTGTCATACAAAAAATTTATTAGTACATTATTCAGTGAAAACGAATAACTTGATAATTATAAATAAAAATTTAAGAAATTACAATTGATTTTTATAGTTCATTAATATCTTTTATTTCATGTTTGCTGTATATATCAACGAATATACTTTTATACATATCTTAAAATCTTAAATCAAACATTTAATTAATCTAAGATTAATTTACATATTTTTTGAATCTGTGACTCTCAATAAACATTAGTAAAAACTATATCTATAATTTCTTTTATAACATTTGAAAAAAATTTATTACTCAATTCAGTGTTGTTTACAATTATGGGTCGAAGGAAAATGAATCTTACGCCTGAAGAAGAAATTGAACATAAAAGAAGACGTCGCGAAAATAATGCTGAAGCTGCCCGTCGTTATAGGGCAAAACGTAAAAATCAGAAAGCCCTTACAACTGATACAAATCTTCTCCATGATATGAATTCCAATGGAATACATCTCAGTCAATTAATAATATGAATAAAAATACGAATACTTACAATAATGATAATAATAATGGTAGCAGTAGCAATGTTCTTTTAGGTAATTCTACATTACAAAGCCCAAATACGGCTAATGGCATCTTTAATGTAAATCTACCAATCGTCATAAATACTGTTACAGAAAACATTTCTTCAAGTTTCACTAACACAAGAAGTATTTCCGAACATTATATTGGAAAAATGGACGTATACTGTTGTCATTGTAACGCGAAACACTTTAATGCTGAAAAAGTTGCAAATAAAGGAATGTCTTTCAATGACTGTTGCCATCATGGTGAGGTTAAACTTGATCCGTTACCGGATTTCCCTGAATTTTTAAAATCGTTATTTGAAAATACTCATCCTAAATCGAATAATTTTTTCCAATGTATTCGTCGATTTAACAACTCTTTTGCTTTTGCTTCGTTCAATGCTAATTTAACCGATTTATCTTCTCAACGTCGGGGTCCATATTGTTTTAAAATACAAGGACAAATATATTACCAAATCAATACTGCACTTTATTCTTTACCAAATGAAAGTCCAAATTTTGGACAATTATTCTTTATAGATGCTCAAGAAGCTTTAGAAATTCGTTTGAAAAATAATATAGAGTGTGATAGTGAAATCTTGAAGGAACTTGACACTTTCATGCGACAGAATAATGTATTTGCAGATTCTTATCAAATGATGGCGAAGGAACTTAATAAACAATGTTCCAATAGTAATAATAGTAATGATGACCCAGAATTGCATTTAATGTTTACATTGAAACCAGGTGTAGATAAAAGACGGTTCAATTTTCAACGAGAAAACGAAGTTGCTGTTATCTTCTCAACAACTGCTGATGGTGAAATTCCGGAATCATATGTTTCAGTGATCAATAAAAATACTAAATCTTTACAGTACGTTAGTACAATGGATCCAAATGTTGAACCTTGGATTTATCCGTTATTTTACCCATTTGGTACTAGAGGATGGCATAAGAATATATCTTACGTTCATAAACAAAACAAAAAAGTTACGCGGAATGATTATCATAAATACAGAATAGCAATTAGGAATGAATTCAATGTTTTCTTAATGGGACGCCGGTTATTTCAACAATGGGTCGTTGACAGTTATGTAAAAACTGAAAAAGATAGATTGAATTATTTAAGGAATAATCAAAAACAACTACGTGCGGAATCATACCAAGGTCTAATAGATCATTTAAATAAATGTCGCAACAGTGAAAACAATGATAACACTACTAATATTGGAAAAATGATAATTCTTCCTTCATCATTTTCTGGATCTCCTCGTAACATGTTACAACATTATCAAGATTCAATGGCAATTGTTCGAAAATTCGGTAAACCAGACATATTTGTGACGATGACATGTAATCCTAATTGGCTTGAAATTAAAGAAAATTTATTTTCAAAACAAACTGCTGCAGATAGGCCAGATATAGTAACACGTGTATTTAATATAAAAAAAAATGCTTTAATTAATATGATTGTTAAAGAACGTCATTTCGGAGAAGTTTTAGCTTATGTATACGTAATTGAATTTCAAAAACGTGGATTACCTCATATGCATATGTTAATAACGTTAGCAGAGAAGTATAAAATAACAACTCCACAAATGGTCGATAAATATATTTGTGCTGAAATCCCAAATGAATCCGATGATCCTATATTATATGATATAATTACTAAAAATATGCTTCATGGACCATGCGGAAATTGGTGTATAGTAAATGGAAAATGTTCGAAACATTACCCAAAAAAATTTCAACAAGAAACAACTATGGATGAAAACTGTTATCCTTATTATCGTCGCAGAGATTTAGGAATTATTTTTACTCGATCTCAAGGATCTCACTTTACAAATGAACATGTAGTTCCATATAATAGAATACTTTCGAAACGATTCAATTCACACATAAATGTAGAAATTATTTCATCCATAAAATCAGTAAAGTATTTATATAAATATGTTTATAAAGGACATGATGAAGCGCTCATAACGATAAATGGAAATGTTTCAAATAGTGATAATAATGCTACTATTCAGTATGATGAAATTTATAATCATATTGAAACTCGCTATGTAGGACCAGCAGAAGCTGTGTGGAGAATATTGTCTAAACCATTACAGGAAAAAAGTCATAGTATTATAAGATTACCGATTCATTTACCAAATCAACAAAATTTATTAATCAATAATGACTGTGATGAAGCAGAAATTAGAAATGTTTTAGAAAAGCAAACTATGTTAATTGATTTTTTTGCATTGAATGCACGTGATCAGAATGCTAAAAAGTATATTTATACAGATATTCCTTATCATTATGTATTTAAAAAAGAAAATAGATCAAATACTTTTCATTGGGTACAGCGTCAAAAACAGTTTAAAGTTATAAGTCGAATGTATTCAGTAAGTCCTTCACAAGTCGAATTATTTCATTTAAGGTTATTATTAACAAAAGTAAAAGGACCAAAAAGTTACGAAGATATCAGAACAGTAAATGGTCATATATATGATACTTATATGAATACTTGCTTGGCATTAGGATTGATTGAAGATGATAATGAATGGGAACGTGCATTAGGCGAAGCAGAGAGTTGGATGATGCCATATCAATTAAGATATCTTTTTGTTCGTATATTACTGCACTGTTATCCGATGTATCCTGATAAACTTTGGGAAAAATTTAAGAAGTCAATGTCAGAAGATTATACAATAAATTTGGGATCAATTCTAGGTGAGAAAAAAGCATACTTTCATATAAATTCTATACTCTGTGATGAAGGATCACATATATCAAATTTTCCAAATATGCCACAAATGACAGATTGGGAATATGTAGATGATAACGGAACAATACAGGAAAATAACCATCGTGGAGCTCAGCAATATCAAACATTAAATGAGCAACAAAAAGAAATTGTAGACCATATATTAAATTTAAGTAATATTAATAATAGCAATATACCAAATTGTATTTACATAGATGGACCTGGTGGGTCTGGAAAAACATTCATTTATACAACGTTGTGGTATTTATTAAAGTCTAAAAACCGAAATATTTGTACTATGGCTTACACAGGAATTGCTGCTACGTTACTCCCAAATGGGAAAACTCTTCATAAAACTTTTAATCTGCCTGTACCTCTTTTTTCTGATTCATCATCAAACATCAAATACAATTCAAAACAAGGCGAATATTTGAAAAACATTGATGTTTTTATATGGGATGAAGCACCAATGGCACCAAAATATGCTTTAGAAGTAATAGACCGAACTTTACGCGATATGATGAATAGTGAGGTACCATTCGGTGGAAAAGTAATGATTTTAGGAGGTGATTTTCGGCAGTTACTGCCTGTAAAAAAAAATTCAACTAGAACAGAATTAGTAAGTTTATCTATCAAATATAGTTATCTTTGGCAATATTTTCATCAATTTACATTAACTCAGAATATGCGTACATTACCTTCAGAAGTCGAGTTTTCAAAATTTTTATTAAATGTTGGTGACGGTACTTTGAATGATAATAATGATAATTTAACGTTACCAAATCAATGTAATATTTTTAAAAACGATCAAATGATTGAAAATATATTTAAAAAGTTAATTATTCAAAAAAAATTTGACGAATTATCTAAATGTGCAATACTTTCAGCAAGAAATGTAGATGTTAACAGAATAAATAATGAAACTGTCCAATTATTAGATTATGATACTGAAAAAGTTTTTACAAGTATTGACAGTACGGAAAATTGTGATAATAGTGATATTGATGATGTTATATTACCAGAATATTTAAATACTTTAAATCCACCAAATTTTCCATTTCATGAACTCATATTACGAAAATTTTGTATTGTTATGTTACTTAGAAATCTCAATATTAGTGAAGGATTATGTAATGGTACAAGATTAATGATTCTTGAACTTGGAAATAATATTTTAAAATGTAAAATATTAAATGGAGATAAATCAGGTGAAATAGCATTCATCAGCCGCATTACATTATATTGTGAAGATATTTATCCTTTTACATTCAAAAGAAGACAATTTCCAATTGTATTAGCATTTGCAATAACTATAAATAAAGCACAAGGTCAGACATTTGATATGATTGGAATAGATTTAACTAAAGATATTTTTAATCATGGACAATTGTACGTAGCATTTTCAAGAGTTCGATCTTGGAAAACTTTACATGTATACATAAATGATGAAAAAACAGATAGAACTGTAAAAAATTATGTTTACAAAGAATTATATTTATAATTTATACTATTCACAATATTGAATCCAATAATATTATGAATGTTTTAATTATGTTAACTTGAAAAAAAATATTCTTCAATGCTAAACTGTTATTAAATTTTTCACATTATAAATTTTTGATTGTATCAACCGTGTATAATAAATAAATTAAATTATAAAAATACCAAATAATAAGCTAATCAAACTGCTCAAATAGAAAATGAATTTCATTATAATACATTTTAATACAATATACAATATATTTACGAACGAATAACCATATCAAAATTTACAAATCAATCTGTGACTTGATGTTCCAATCTTTCAAATTAACTATCAAGTAGAAAGTTTCTAACGTGTTTATTGGGCAAATCAAATAATAATCCCACCAAAAATCAAGCGCACCAAATATGAGATGTATCGAATGGTAGTTCAACGAAAAATATGAATTCAAATTATAATTTTGAAGGCAACTACAGTCACGTAGTTTGTTAGTTATAGATATCAATTCCATTCAGAAATTTATGTCAGCTTAATGAACTTGAATATAAATATATATATATATATATATATATATATATATATATATATATATATATATATATTTATATTTTTTTTAATTATTTAGATGTGTATAAATTATTAGGAAAAGTTTTATTTTTGAATTTTAGTATATAATACATTAATGCATTTTAATAACTGATCTTACGATTAATGAAAATTTATTGAAATTATCCTAACTCTCATCTTATTGGTAAAAATCGCTTGAAATTACTGGAAATTATCAAATTTCAACCTAAATAACTTTGAGACCAATTGGACAATATCTTAAAATGATAGTGATTTTTACATTTATGCAACAGCGCGCTCGGAGAGCGCGCTATCTTTGTTTCTAGTTAATCTTACTTACCGTTCGGCGATAGTCTCCTCGTTGCTTGATACAGCTTCGTTCGAATGAATAAATTAGCAAACGAATAAATCGATAAAGAATAATGTGAGATATTCTTGGACTTTCTCATGGGGAGTCAACTATCATAGCTCTGAAATAAAACACATTGTTTAGGTGGCACTTAGTTAGAGAATTGAGTTGCATGAGCACAAACCGTTAGATTAAATTATGCGTATTATCGCTTATTTATTGGTAAATTGTCTCCCATAAAACACAGCTTTCTTCTTCAGGGCTGTGCAAGAATGTGCGCCAAGCATAAATAATGACAATGATGGAACTAAAAAAAGTCCTGAAATCATTAAACGCTAATTATTTGAATCTAAAACTCCACAATAATATGATGAATTATTCCTTCGGCCTTTTTCTCTTTTTTTGCAAAAAAATTTATTACGTTTTATGACACAATAAGAATAACAACCAAAAACTTAGCGTAACTGTTACAACTTTGATGATGATCGAATTCAAATATGTCAGAAACTATGTCGAAAATTGAGAAAGCAAAAGAAACAAAAAATTTCATAATACTTCTTCATACTATAACGAACATGTAAATATTGGGTCTCTGCAAAAATATGGAATTAGATGTGAGGTTTCAGTTCAGAAAAAGGTTTTTTTTTTTTTTTAATTCACATACTTTTTGTTTGTATAGAATTTTTTTAGAATCAATTTATTTTTCATGTAACAAATTCCTGATTCAAATAGTATAATGAATTTTACAATTAAAATCACACCACGACTATACTATAAATAATAATAAATTTCACACCCAGCGAGGAAAAGTCAACTAGCTTAAACCACGTGTATACCGAACCTGTCTTCGGCTAGAGTTGTAATTTTACACTGGGTTTGAACTAGTCTGCTTTTCTTTAAACAAGTTCTCTAAAACACAGCAATTCTCTAGCGATCAGTAAATAATAAAAAAAAAAATCAGTTATTCCAAGACTTTAACTGTAGTCAGAAATTATTTTTATACTTATTTTCTGACGGAATCTATGTGATTTTACTTATAATCGTTGACCTTTGATTGGTAATTTTTATTTTTCGAAAAGTATCTTCTATTAACACATTTTGGTAAATAGCAGAATACACGTCGTTTTAAATTTGCTGTCATTTTTGTGGACAATTTTCGAAATTTATCTTAATTACCCCGTTCGAAATACGTCACAAACAGAACCAAATTTCAGAAAATTAGTGAATGCAATATGTTTCAGTACTTTTCTGTAGAGAAATGGAGGTTTTGTGTTAAATGCCGTGAAATTATCGGAAAGTCTATCTCTTTATTACTGTCATTTCCTACTTAAAATCATTAAACAATTTAAAAAAATGGAAATATTGCAGAAAAGTTATCAATGACATTTATAAGACGACAGAGATCATAAATTTCATGTAGTAATGTCGAATTTTCTTCGTATTTTTAATGATATTGCCAATAACCTGACGATAGCTATTTACTACCTTCAGATTATTGACAAGCATAGTATGTCTGACATTTTCAATATCAGTAAGGCAAATTTATTCTTCCTATTGAAAAATTAACAAAATCAAAAATATTTTTTAATGTTTTCATGGTTTTCATTTATTTTTAGATAATTTGAAACAAGAAATAGAATCTATCGGAATGGCTGACCCGCCAATTTCAGAAAATATGATAAAGATGCTGGCTGAGAACCAGCAAATTATGTTGGAGCAACAGCGACAGAATCAACAGATTTTGCTGTGTGGAAAAGGCAGCAGAGTGGTGGCGGGGGACTTCAATGCTAAATCAACAGCATGGGGCGCGGCGCAAACAGACAAAAAGGGAGAGGTGGTAGCAGACTTAGCCCTCCAGGAAGACTTAGTTGTAACCAACCAGCGCAACTTATACATATTTAGAAGAGGCGTCACTGGCTCTATTATAGACATTACCATGGCGTCAGAGGACTTGTTGGACAGGGTGCAGGGATGGAAGGTACTGGAAGATATGACTCTCAGTGACCATCAGTACATAGAGTTCACAATACATGGTAGACTGAGGGCGCCAAAAGCTGGTATGAGAGAGTGTAGCGGTAAAGCCTGGGTGGTCAGAAAACTCTGTGAAGAAGACCTGTTAGCCCTTGCTAAGAAGGTGAGAGAAAAAAGGCTGGCTGGCAAGGAAGATGATAGTGACATCTGGAACCCGGCAGATCTAGTTGACTATCTCGAGATAGCGTGTAACAAGTATATACCGAAGAAAAAACCGGGATGTGAGAAAAGGCAGCCGGTCTATTGGTGGTCAGAGAAGATAGCGGCCAAGAGGAGAAGGGCTCAGCGTGGTAAGCCGAAGGCGGGAGAATGCAGGACTCAGAGAGCGAGAAAAGACCTGAAGCAGGCGATAAAGATAGCGAAAAAAAAGCTGGCAGTCATTTATTTTTGAGCTGGAAAGAGACCCATGGGGAGCGCCATATAAATTAGTTACCAAAAACCAGTCAGACAACCCGTTATACCAGGACTAAAGGACCCGCAGCGCAGCGGAAGGTGGAACGAATATCGCCAGTAGAGGTGGAGTTGGCGGCAAACGACTTACCAAATAAGAAAGCACCGGGGCCGGATGGAGTGCTGAATGAGGTAATAAAAGTAGTAGCGCAAGTGTATCCGGAAGCCATTACAGAAGTGTTCAACAAGTGTCTCGAGGAAGGAATTTTTCAACACCAGTGAAAGTGTCAAAGGCAAGTGTTACTCAAGAAGCGGTCAGGTGATTTGAAAAGCCCGTCATCGTATAGACCCTTGTGCCTCTTCGACAACATCGGCAAGCTCTTTGAGCGACTGATAGTGCAGAGACTCCAGGAGCACTACAGAAGAGTCGGCGATCTGTCGCCAAGACAGTATGGATTCCGACGTGGTAGGTCAACAATAGACGCTATGTCTCATGTCCTGGATATTGTAGCTTCTAGGCGGAATAGAATCCGCAAGATCTCGGCGCTCAACACTATTGTGACGCTTGACGTAAAAAACGCGTTCAACAGCGCAAACTGGAGCAAGATAATGGAGGCACTCCAAGCAAGAGAAACTCCGGCTTATCTGCTACGCATCTTCGACAGCTATTTGAATGATAGAACGCTACTGTATGAGACAGAGGAAGGGCCTGTGGAGCACAAGGTTACAATAGGAGTTCCACAAGTCTCAGTATTGGGACCGTTCCTGTAGAATTGCATGTACGATGGGCTTCTAAACCTGGAATTACCTGAGAGATAAAGTTTATTGGATTTGCTGATGACGTAATTTTGGTGGCACGGGGACATAACATTACGGAGTTAGGACGAAGGGTGCAGCAGGGCCTGGATGCAGTCGGAAAATGGATGAGATTGAATGATCTAATGCTGGCAGCCCATAAAACGCAGGCAGTACTGGTCACTACAACGAGGAAGCAAATGCTGGAGGTTAAGGTGGAAAGGACACGCAAAGTACCTAGGAGTGCTTTTTGATAGCAAGCTCCGCTACATAAGTCAGGTACGAGGGACAATGGATAAAGCACGCAAAACAGCAGCTGCTATTAGCAGACTTATGCCGAACGTTGGGGGTGCTGGGCATTTTGAGAGACGAGTACTTTATACGGCGGTGGAAGCGCAACTACTATACGGAGTGCAAGTGTGGAGTGGTGTAATGGGGTGGAAGAAGTATAAGGAGGAGCTTATAGCAGTACAAAGAAAGATGGCGCTTCGCGTCATCTCAGTGTATCGAACAGTGTCAACGGCGGCATCACTAGTACTAGCCAGCATATCTCTGATCGACCTGGTAGGAGAGGAAAGAATGAAATCATATGAAAAAATGAAGAATGTGACACCAGAAGCCCGGAAGAAGGCGAGAGTGGAAGTTGGGAAAGAGGAGAAGGCCAATGTGATGAAAAGATGGCAGCAACGTTGAGATGAGGATGGAGATAGACAATAGACGCATAGGCTCATAAGAAATGTTGGCCGATGGGTGAATAGAAGGCATGGGCAGATGGAATATCGCCTGACGCAGTTGCTCAGTGGCCACGGAGGATTTAATATGTACCTATTCAAGATGAAGATTGTTGAAGACCATCGATGTAGTTTATGTGGAAATAATGCTGAAGAGCACAAAGAATTGGTGCGTGGTGACGGCTTTCGCCAAGAAGGTAATGAAGAAGCGTGATGAGAAGGAGCGAATACGACGCACGGCTCAGAGAAGAGCTTAAAGATGACGATGATGAAGTTTTGGAGGGACTGGAGCAGATCCTGAGCCCCTAATCTCGTAAAGAGGACGGGGGACGTAGGGAAAAATCTGAGGCTGTAGTGTAGATTAATTGGATGAAGGTAAGCGCCACTTTGACGTAATGCCCCACGGTAGTTCCGGAGTGGTGTCTCGTGTCTGTAGGGTCACTAATAGAGGGCTTGCCCTCTCTACACCCTTTGACATACGTTCGGAAACGTGTCGAAACTCGATATCGATTGAAATTAAGTAGGCAAGAAACTTCCAACTCATCTGTTCCGAGCAAGACAGAAAACAGGATATTTCTATCAATCCCCGTCTTATTTGTCAAAGAAGACTGTGAGCTCAAGCAGCTGGCGAGCAAGCGGTAATGTTTCTTCATTTAAATTGCATGTATTTGCAATTTTAATATGCAAAAAACAGTTTTATACGTTAATTTCAATTTTTAAATGACACTGCCTTTCAGATAATCGATAACAAATAAGGAAATATTTGAACACGGCCATAAACTATTTTTTTATTAGCAACATTGGTAGTAGCCTTTTATTGACAACTTATCAGCAATAAAAAAAAAGTCTAAACCATCTGCCGTGAGATCCGGCACTTTGCCGGCCAGCTTCGTGTTCAACCCTGCAGCTTATGATTCACAAACATAGCCAATAGCAGAATTGATATGCTAGCTCTGTGATCGAGGCGCCATACTTTCATATTTTTGGGCAAGGTTCGATTTCACTCACGGTAAATTTTTTTTTTGTTTAATTTGCATGTAATTATTATCTGTTGTAACAAGACAGGGAGAAATTCTGGTCCTCCGTGGCAAGTGGCGACATCTTCTTCATCCACCGACACTACTACTCCTCACTGAGTCCACCTGAGGGAGAAATTCCCAAGGTCTGTTATAGGTACAATAACTTCTTCGAGACACTGCCGCTGGCTATGTCAAGGTCTACTTCACCGATCAAGGGCACAAGATCAGCCTATCTAAAAGTTCATCTAAAGAGGTGCTGTGATGACCAAATAGGAGGAGTCAACTCCATGGAGGGGGGTCCCGCCAAGACGACTAGGAGACGCCGCAGTTCAGCCGAAAATTTAGTATGAAAGAAACAGTCAACCGCTAGTCACTGAAAGGTACAAATCGTCACCGAGCACCTTTCTACGTGCGAGATACTAAGTAACAATCCACCGAAAGTAGACCGTAGACTGTTCTGCGTACGCGAGTGTACGGTGCCAAGAAGAAACAAACATCCCAGACGATTGGAGAGTCAACAGGAAGTCAACCGACATTCAGGACGAGAAGCCGGGTCTATTCTCCTGAGAACTTAACTGGCCTTCGACGTACATAATTCCCCGTTCGCTGGACAGGAAAGAGACCAAGCCAAGATCGCTCCAGGTGCCATCATTCCGAGACAACAAGGGTGAGCTCACCTTCTCATTCCTCCAAGGGCATAAGGCGAAGCCACGTCATTTACATCTGGCCCCTCTAACATTATTATTATATAAATTTGTAATATCCGTCCCGTAACCGGGCCGTGCCATTTATTCTACAAATTAACTAATTGATTATAGCAAATAAGCTATTCCTGTCTAGAACAAAGCTGCAAGTAGCTTGCTCACGTCAGGTCGTGGGAGGTGAATCCCACAACGTATTAGAGAGTATTCTTCAATGAAATAAATATTGTCATTTTAGACTTTGTGGACGCAATTCTCCTGGGTAACCCTCCCCCCCTCGCGATTAGCATGCAATCTTCCAGGGATCCAGGAATTCTCCAAGGACACGGCTTTACACCCGAAGGAAAGGAGCTCAGTCCTCATACTCGAAATTCACGTACTTTTGAGGGTCACCGACCTCATCTTCTCGACTGAAATTACATTGTTCGTATATTCGATATTCCTCATTCCGCCTTGCTTTTGGTCCATCGAAATTGCTACGCGTTAAATTGATTCTGTAAATTAATTTCATATAAATTCTTATAAATTGATCCTCTTGTAAATAAAATGAAAATAAAAGTGAAGTCAAATACTCTGTTATATTTTAATATATTTTAGAATTAATAAACTGCCAGCTCGATAAATCTTTTTGAAGTTGCGAAATATTTTGTAATATATCTCTTCTTTCTTTCGCGCCAACGATTGCTCTGAATACATTTCTGGGAATTAGCTCTGTCATTGTCGCACTCGTTTAGTCAATCACATACAACAATTCTCTCTAATACACTTGCGACATTGAACAGTTACTATTTGCTTGATTACTTATAGTCTTTGATTGAATTTAATATTCGAGTTTGATATCTTATCGATAAAATCTTCGTTTTTGTCCGACCTTAATGAATAAGCGTACAGATAGTCCCGGTACAGAGAGCTCCGATTATTTATCTTCAGAAGGAGACAAAGATACTTCTACATTTAAAAAAGAAGACAAATTACGTCAATCCACGCTTAAAAATTATTATCCAATTGTTGGATAACTCTCATCACACTTCAAGGTCGTCTCTCGAAGATCCGAGAGTTGATGTACTCGTATCTCAGGTAGCTAGAATGGAGAAAATGATGGAAACTTTCTTTCAGAGAGCTACGTCGACACAAGACATCCAAGGTCGAAATTCTTTAGTTGCCGAAAACGCCGAATCTTCAGGCCAAAGGAGGCTAAAACCTCCATATACTACATCTGATGAAGTTGACTTTCGTCACCACACTGCATTTTCTGATACTTCTAGTGTTCAGGGTCATAGGGTTAGTTATTCTCCCAGAGAAGAAGCTTTTCATACTAAGAACACAATAGCTCGTTAGAATTTCAAATTCACAGGAGAGAAGGCAGAGAAAGATCCCATTGCTTTTTCAGATGACGTCGAACGTAGAATGTTGTTAACTAGTCTCGAGAGTCAATATTTGATGGTAATTAGGTAAGTCTTGAGAGGCTACGTGTACGTATGTCTAAAATGTCATCAACATAAATTAACATCTTAGGAAATACTTAAGCTCCCTTTGCGGAAAATTTTCAGTCTAACGCCGGATGTAGTAAATTGCCGTCGGAAACCTATGCGGCCTATGTATCACGCACGTTTAATTATTATACTTTTAAAAACCTTAACGCTAGTTGGGATATTATTTATACCAAAATTATTAAGGGATTTGGGACCCGCATAAGACATCTGGCTTATGGGTCGAATATAACAAATATAGAGCAGTAACACACTTACGCTCATAGACTGAATAGTGATCCGGATCTAAACAAAAACAGTAACCAGCAACGTAAACAACTTGATCATCCTGATAAGAAGCCTTATAAGCCTGCGCTTGAGGCTATTATGAATATAACTTGAGAAATATCAAGCTCAGACGCTGAAGGTGCTCAGGCTCTTCAAGTTTACATGCCAAAATTCATTCTAATAACAATTTGTTCTTTAAGAAGGGTTATAAACCCTTTTTTAGTACTACGAAATGGATGTAGCTTCTTTTTAAACGGTTTAAAAATATTCAGAAGCAGTTTGAACAATCTCTGACGAGTTTCGGCACTCCGCCGGCAAGCATTATCCTTACCCTAGCCTGTAGCTTAACATTGCAAAGTTTTTTTTTTGTTTTTTTTATTGAAATTCCACATAAATGTAACAATCACTTGTTTGTATCAGTTCGAAATTAATTTTTGAAGTCTTTTAGAAAAAGAGAGTTTATCGTAACTCTTTTCTCGTCCTCTGTTACTGTTCAGTCAAACGACTGGCGGATTCCCTAACTTTTCTGGTTAGGTGAAGCCCCAAGTCAATTTCATGTAAAAATCCAGCCTCTCCCCTCAAAACCTCGACGAACGAACTCACACTGAGTTCAGAAGGTGAGACTACTGTCATTTGCTAAACCTGGATGTTACACATGTCATGCAGATTGTCACAGTTTCAATAGATATACTTTAAAAAATTAGATTTTAGAGAAAAGAATAAAATAGCGTGTGAATGTCAACGAGAAGGGAAGAAAGATGGTGACAAAAACTTTATCAGTCAAAATGGAAAATCAATTTTAGTCAATTGAGTGACTAGAATAAGAATAATTGATTATTTCGTCGATATCTTATTAACCCAATGCCAAGATGGCTGCTAAAGTTCCTATCAGATGATTATTGAGACTCGAAAATTCATTAATACTAAACAACTGATGTTTTGAGTATTGTCATTGAAAGAATTTTCTATGCTACAACTGACGGATGAAATTAATTTTAAAAAATGTCACATAAATTAGATGAACAGAAATTTCGAATTGCAGTAAAAGTATGAACATATTGGAAAATTTGTACTTCAAACTTGTCATCGTCGTTCTTGCAGTTCTAAATTGTTCGTTATTCATTTTATATCAATATAATGAATCTTCTAAAGTAAACAATACTACCAGCGACGATACAACACATCTTATAAACAATGTGTAAGTTGACTTCTCTCTCCTTCTGGAGTGAACTACTTAATTTATCGGAGTCATTTACTCCATAAATCACATGGCTTTTAATTGGGAGACTGATATTCATTTATTTAAGTTAAAATTAGCTTTCGAAACCGAATATTCAAAAACATTTGCTACTGCAATTTAAATATGAGATGAATAATTTAAAAAAATTGTTTTACCGTCGAGAATGATTAGACAGATTTGATTGTCAGAAATTGTAGTGCCGTTTGAATCGCCAGAATAAGTAAATTATCTACACAGCTTTTTTTTTCTACATCTTAACTGAAAAGCTGATAATAATGAAAAGTGGTTTTTGGCTCACCACGTCTGTCTATTGATAATCATTGTTTCAAGTCATTTTTATATAAAAGAAAATAGTGTGATAGGCCTAAATCCATCATTTTTGATTAGCAGAACAAATAATAGGAATTCTTTATACTGGTCCGAGAGAAGACGAAAATTTACGAAATCGTTGAATCACTCAAGCGGTAGGAAAAGAATCTCAAGTTAAAGCTTTAATAACAGCAAAATTTATTAAATCCTAGCCTAGACTCGAATTGTTCTTTACAGATAATAAGACAGATATACGCTTATTGTTTGAAAAGTATTCGGCATGAGTGATTTGTGCATAAGGTAACGTGTATTTGTAATAAAGTCGCTAGGAATATCATAGAGTGTGGAATAAGATTACCTCAGAAATTTTTTCTCTTTCACCGAAAAAAATCTAGAAGTTCACTAAAAGTCCAGTCAAATAGGAGCTGAAATGGCAATATTTCAACCTTGGTCAAACTTGGCTGAAGTATCCTAGGTATGCTAATGGCTTATCAATCGATTAACCTTCGATTCTGAGTCGATTAAAAATATTTTATTTTTTCTTTTCTTTGGAAACGATATCTACATTTTAACCCCTTAGAAAAAATGCCCTATGCCACTTTTCAAAAGAATAAAATATTTTTCACCGACTTAATTTTTAAGTCTGTGTTCTGACTTCGATGAGCTGGTGGAATAAGATTGACAGAGATTAGATTAGATGGAGTAATCTTACCCCTTTTTTACCCTGACGCTTGGTTTGCAGTTCCCGTTAAACTATTCTCTGCAAATTTAATATGTTTGGGAACATTTTAGCCAAGTTTAACCGAGGTTCAAAAATTGCCATTTCAAGTCTAACTTAACGAGACTATTAAAAATTTGTTCTAGTTCAAATCACTAACTTCTTTCATAACTTAGGGTTAGTAAGCCCTATAGTGGAAGTTGTTAAAATAATAATGCAAAGAGTTTAAGTCGATAACATTGATCAAGATGAGCTGATTCTTGATAAATTAGATCGGAGATGGAAAGTCTTCCTAGGTATGTATGAATGTACGTATTCATATACGGACATCAGCTTTTTTTACGTTTTCGATATCTTGAGGGTGGATCGAAATATCACTTTTAACTACAATTATTTCGAAATGTATTATTATGAAAAAGATCCAAAGGGAATTTAAACAAATATGGTCAAGCCGTTCTTTTCTCATAACACAATAACTAGTGAAAAAACGAGGAGATTAGGTATTTCGAATACTTTTAAGTCAAATAATAACAGTTTTATTTGAAAATTAAGGTAGTACTGACTAGACATTATTTTCCCAAAAAGATATAAATTCGAACAATTACCGAATAATTAGATGAATGAAGGTTTCTCCTGCCAACTCATTTCGCCAATTAGACTGCTCTAATTAATTCCTAGGTGTAGACATCCTTTCTAAAGGATCTAAAAGCTTCGAGAACGTAGAGTTTTCTGAAATAATGGTCCGTTGTCCTCAGTATTCGTTGGTTACGGCAAGTATTTGTACATAGCTCGTACTTGAACGACTCTTGGGCATTATCGAACGATGCCAACCCACAGACAACTCGGTACGTGTGTACTAGCAGAGAGCTCACGCAGTCGAACTCTCTAGTGGAAATCCAGAGAACTCTACAGAATATTCCTTAGAAATAGAATAACTCATCAGTCAATTATCTATAGTGATGATTGTGAACTCATCAGGCAGTCGAACCGCAGATATTCCAAAAAAAATATAAATAGAGGTTGACAGTAAACTATTATTATCGTGGTGTTATCTGTTAACTCCGAACCAATTTTCAACGATAATTGTTTCAAATTTTACGTTTATAATTTCGTTGTAACTATGCTATTTTATCACCTGAAGTAATCTTTTTCAAGCTTAGACGTGTTGCAAGAAGTGTACTAGACAACATTTACGGGCTGAAATTAGATGGAAAATAAATAATTCACGATTTCTTTCCATAATTTTCTAGCGGTTATTTCAGCGTTAAAGCGCAGCAAATCAATTTATAATTGCGCACTCTGCATAATAAAATAAGCTTCAATTGGGAACTGAAAGTTTCAAGTGAAAACATTAATTTGCGAAGGAATAAGAGAATTGCGATCCAATGTATTTAAATAGGAAGATTGAGTCACCTTTGTGACTGCAGCCTAGCCTTAAGATGTGAAGTTCTTGTATCGAATTTATTGAACTCCATATTTTATGCAATTAATCGTACATATAAACAAAAATAAATGTTGAAAAAAAATAAATTCATCTATATAATATGATTCATAATTCATAATTGTTCCATAACTGAACATTTATTTATCTCAATTTTTGCGCAGTGGAATTTTGAAAATTTTGTATTTAATGTATAAAGCAATAATGATATGCAATGGTATGCTCTGTCGGAGCCAACAATTGCAATCATGAAAACATTTTAATTCTAAAAAATATAACTTGCAAAAATCATTTCATAATTTATACATATAGACAAACGGCAGTGCCTCGTCGTGACATAAGCGCAAGAGAGCGGCGATTTATGCTCGGTGCAAAAGACACTACTGTATCTCTTGATGAGAAGAAAATCATTTCCAAATTTAACGGTAAATCAATCAGTATCGTTTCAATCGAATGATATTGAATGTGTTCCATCATACAAAGACCAAGTTAAAATGTTTTTGAAACATTTGTCGTGGTCCTATCAGCGAACGTACTGATCGACATTATTGTCTTTCTTGGTAGAAATAAGTTCATACAAAAACAGATAGTTGTGTGATCCAGACGACAAGTTTTTTAAATTATTATGACCATAATCAGGATTTTTTGTGTCTCGATTTTTTAAATACAAACAATAATGCATAACTGCATGTTCAGCTACAACGTAACAAGTTAATAACTTTATTGTTACGGCATTCGAGACTCGGATTGCTTCGTCGTTAAGTTCTGCATCAAAATTTTTCAATGTTAACATCGTTACTGATGTTTTTGGTTCACTTGAAGGTAGATCATGGGATAGATTATTGTCATTAATAATTTTAAAATTTCCCCTTGAGTAAAAAATCTTTTGGAACATGGGTCGTGATAAAACATGTAGTAATTGACTTGATTCATCTTCTACTAGAACAATTGGTTCAAACAATGGCTGATCAATGGTGACAAATTTAATTTGATTTACTGTCAGGTCAGCATCTCCAACCATTGAATGAATTAATGCTAAGTATAGATTCTTTAAGAATTCCTCGTAAACTGCACAGTAAGTATACGGAGATTTTTCCATATCGATCAACATGTTCTCATTTAGAGCATGGTTGATTCCGTGAGATATTCTAGATTTTAAAGAAGGAGATTCGAAATTTATAACTGGTCGATCAATGTACATTATGTTCAGTTGTAGTTATCTATGAATATATATTACAGTTACTTCTAAAATTAAGGGCGAAAAAATATTTTTTAATTTTGCTCGTTTGTTTGGTTATTTATGGTATAGAATGTGTTACACTTTGGTGGGTGAAAGTCTATTATTTTTTGAGGGAGACTTCCCAAAGTGCTTTTTGTTAGATGGATGACTCTGATGGTCATTAACTATCCTAACAGTTTATAGAAATTAAGTCAATATGTGAGTACACGTCGGGTGGCAACCCGATGACGAGAGGAAATTAATTACTCTACAATCAATCGGCAGATTTGCACGAGGCAAACTCAGAAATCTATGGGATAACGGGAAAGAGGTTACTCCCAATGTGGCAACTTATTTATACTTAATATTACTTTTATTTAAGCGGTTTCAAGCAAACAAATATAAATAAGAAAAACTCCTTGATGTACTCTGACTTACAAAAGAATAATATAATTTTGAGTACGCTAAAGACTCTATATAATTCAAAGACTATTATGAGTATTACGGAAGCGAAATAAGTCAGGGTTTTAGACCCCCTTAACGCAAATCGACTAAGCGAGTATAAAATGCTTAATAATGACTTCAACAAAGAAGAGAGAATATTGCAACTATTTCGATAGTAATACTAGTCAGTCAGTCTCACAAGTGTATTAGAAAGTTGCTGGACTTACATGACTCGTTCCCCGTCAGGACTGCGAAGACTGCTCCCCAGGATAATCTAGTACGTTGTCTCTGGAACGTAGTGGAGATCTCGAGCTGGTTTCCTCGTGGCGGCGGTGTCCCCTTCCACGGCTCTGTTTCTCCCGCCCATTCTGTGCTCAGCTCTACAGGTGGTGAGTGGCTGGAACTCGTAGATGAGTATGAGTACGAGTTGGTAAAGTGGAGAAGAGCCGGAGACATATCGTAGGTCGATGACTGATCGTTGGTCGAGCCCAACACGTCACAAATGACATTGGTAAGTGTACACTTTTAAATTTTTCGAAAATGGACTTCTAACTTATTTCGTTTATAACAATGTAAATTCATTTTGAACAATTACTTATAGAAAGTTCATCACGATAGAACAGACGAAGTATGCTCAGGCCTATATTTAGATTAACCACCATTAAAAAGACGGTGGAGTTCTTGCCAGACCACTATGAGTACGGGTACGTGTAGGAAAATAGGAATGAAAGTATTTTGATAGCTACCTGGAGGCTAAGATTACCTTTCCTGTTCCCTAGCGTTAAGATGCTTCGAACCTAACCCCTTATCTCTCGCCATAGCTTGGGAAGATGTTACAATCTGTAGTTCTTTTATATTAATTCGCAAAGAAAAAAAAATTGTATGAGATCCGTTAACTAAGAAGAGAGGGTAACACCCATAAAAATCAGAGAAAGCGCAATACACAAACAAATATACTAAAAGTTAGAGAAAGGGACAGTAGCTAGTGAGAGAAAATTTCTTAAGGGAAAAGGAGCATGCGTAAGGAGAAGAAGAGCATGCGTGAGGAGAAAAGGAACATTTGTAAAAAAGGCGAGTTATGTGCGCGATGTGAATTTGTGTTGAGGGTTACCCAAGAAAGGGTAAATTTATTGAGGGCAGCTAAGAGAGGGCAACAGGCATCAAGGCAATGTCTGAAGAGCGAGTGTAAAAGAACCGAGGGTTATAGCGAAAATAATGTTAACGCATAGATGAAGAATTTGTATAAAAGATGTACGAGAATTGAGAAAAAATGCTTGACCGATTCGGTCACCAGATCCTTCGTTAGTCGATACCAGCTTAGTCTTCCCACATCTTCTACAACTAATTTTTAAACAATTGTATTCAAAGCTAGGTATTAATCCACTCTATACATGCGATTGATCAGTAAACATTGACTTCTGAAGCGTGTTGAGCTCGTGTGGGAGGTCAATAATACCAAACACACCAAGTTAAGGAATTCTCAGATATTCAAAAAAATTTCAGTGAATCAACAATTGACATTCAGTGATTTTTAACAACATTTAGTCTTCCTATTCAGTAATAAAAAGATGTACAGTGAATATTGTGTACCTGTTAGTGCTGAAAATAAAGATTATATATTTTTTATAAAACCTGCCTTCCGTTTGCTCTGTTTCGGCACAATCATCCCTATCCTGAAACGGTTAGGTTAATTCACAAGTTGGGAATTGCTTAACATTTTATGTTGCGAGAGGATAATCGCAACCAGTTAGCTGGACTCGCTGTCGTCCCAGTTCGTGCTGAGTCGAGTCTACCAGATCTGTTCGGACTATCCTTGTTCTCGTTTCAGCGGTCGGTTCAGCTCATTCGCTATAGATCTTTTAGCTGTAAATAATCACATAACAGTAAGGAAAGTAATAAAGTTCGGTTCGTAAAACATAATGTTACGAACAACAATTGACGTTTTGGTGATATGATGCATCTGTAAGAACGGGTCGTGTAGGCGTCGATTCTGTGAAACATTACAGAGGAATGACCTAAATTACCCTCTCCGTATTGTAGATCATGTTTTTCTTGTAGAGAAGTGTAGTTATATGAGGTTGTTGAGGAACGCCCATAATTCTTTGTAGGAACCGTCACTCTGGACGTAGATTATGTTCAGTTTTACAGAGTAACGACTGTAATCACCCTCATTTTTTGTAGACAATGTACTTATTGTAGAATGGTCAAGTGATATGAATTTTTTTTATAGGAACAGTCCTTTTCCTGTAGATTATTTGCAGTTACAGAGTTACGACCTAATTTATTTTATTTTTTTTAGTAGGCTGGATGTTTCCTGTAGAATTGTTTAGTGATATGATTTCTTCGTAGATACGGTCTCTCTTTCGTAGATTATGTCCAGTTTTATGAAGTGACGATCTTAAATACCCTCTTTTCTCTGTAGACTGGACCCCTCTGTAGAATGGTATAGCGATATGATTCTTTTGTAGGAACGGGTCTCTAGTCTCTAGTCTCTAGTCTCTAGTCTCTAGTCTCTAGTCTCTAGTCTCTAGTCTCTAGTCTCTAGTCTCTAGTCTCTAGTCTCTAGTCTCTAGTCTCTAGTCTCTCTCTGCCTATGGAACTCATGACCTTGACGTGGTGGCAGAGCTTGTGTACCCCAAGGATTCTGGGAGCTATGCCGGCGGTAGCGTAGCTACTGGTAGGGCCTCCCAAGCCGGACAGGTCTCAGGAGAGGGTCAGACAAAGAAGGGTTCCAACCCTCACTAGTGGGTGCCTGGACCACTTGTGAGGTATTCTTACTAGGCTAGGGGAGGACAAACTCCGAATATAAAAGCAAATCTACAAGGTATGGAATGAGTCTATTCAATTTGAAGGACATTACGGTGCAGAGGAGGGATACCTCAGTACCGGTCGCGGCTAAGAGCGCTAACGCAGGCTCTTCCCGATCGTCATCCAGCGACTGCGGAACCCGAGTGGTGAGTAACCAGGCCCTCGGGGGAGAAAATGCTACTGGAAGTGATGGAAACAAAAGTGTGGACGCGAGTAAGCCGAAATGGATCCGTACTTACCAAGATCCGAGTCCAGACAAGGTAAGGAAGGCGACGGCAGTGGAGAAGAAAGGAGGAGATGAAAACAAACAATGGAGAGATAGGTCCATGAGTCTGGATTCCTCCCGCATAGAGATTCATGTGGTAGATGTTGACGCCGACGATGAGGTGAGGGAGCAGAGAGACGAGGCTTACAGATTAAGGCTCGTAAATGATGAAGAGAAGGCACTAGCTGGCCTAAAAAATAAAATTGCAGTCATGACAAAAGCCTGTAAGGAGATCCCAGGAGTCCCGAAGGAGATGGAGGAGGCGCTCCGCGAGGCCAGAGCCTTTTTCAGGCAGATGATAAGTTGCCGGTTGGCCCTCAAAAATGCAAGAGATGGGTCGAGAGCATGCAAACGGGAGCAAAATAGCCGGGCGACGCAGACAGAGCCAAAAAACGACGAAGCACCGGGAGGAGTAGGTGAAAATAAAGAGCGGCAGAAAAGAGGAGCGTCAGCATCACCTGAAGAAGCGGAGGGAAGGAGGAAGAAAGCCAAGGAGCCAAACCGCACCCGTCTTGAAAAGGGAAAACCGGAGGGGGCACAGGAAGGCCAGCGTGCTGGTAGCCAGGTGAGTGCAGATATGGAGTGGAGGGTTGCAGGTGGACGGAAAAGAGCGCAGGTGTCGAACCCTAAGGCCATGGCGGCAGGAGCAGACGGACCAACAAAAGCAGGAAATAAGCTGCCAAATCAACCGTCAACTAAACAACGAAGACAGATGGCGCCAAAACCAGAGGCTATCATCATCAGACCAAGAGACGGAGCTATGAAGGTATGCAGATGTCCTCATGAAGGTTAAAAGCAAAGTTACCCCGGAGGCCCATGGCTTAGAGATTGGCGGAGTGAGAAGGTCGTTGCGGGGAGAGCTTTTAGTAGAACTGAAGAGAGGTAAAGGCACGGCAGCTAAGTTAGGGCAGGCAGTAAAGATGCTATGGGGGAGGAAGTGATAGTCACGGAGCTGGCGAAGAAAGTCCTGTTGGAGGTGCGCGACATAGATGAGGTCACGGTGGAAGAGGAGGTGTTGCAAGCGGCTAAAACAGTAATGGGAGAGGGAGCTACAGTGGAGTTGCTAAATCTCAGAGGTAGCTACAGTGGTACTCAGTCAGCGCTGCTGCGTGCGCCAGTAACTGAAGCTAACAAACTGCTGGCGGCTGGGAAACTTAAGATTGGATGGGTGTACTGTAGAGTAAGGATTAGGGAGGAGGTGGCTAGATGCTACAGATGCTTCGGCACGGGACACATGGCTGCGACGTGTCAGGGCCCGGATAGGACGGCTAGCTGTAGGAAGTGCGGAGAGGTAGGACACAAATTTAGAGAGTGCACAAAACCTCCGTGTTGTGTTATCTGTAAAGAAGCAGGGGTGGATGAGACAAAGTGGAGGCATCTTATCGGAAGTGGAACCTGCGTGGACACCGGGAGGAAAAACATCCAGCAAAAGGCGCTTTGAAGATACTGCAGATAAATCTGGGAAGAGGCAGGGAGGCCCAGGACCTGCTGCGCA